TTGAAAGGCAATAACAACTGATTTATACTGTAAGATGGTCTGTGGTAAACATTAGCTCCATTTAGTCTCCATTTCTATATAAAGCGAATCCAATAAGTGAAATTTTGTTTATCAAAACAGTGTAACCAAAGTCCCTTTCTGTCGTGCAATCTCCCTTGGCGATAATCGCCGTTCGCCGTTCACCACGACAACGTTTTTTGAAATAGCTGTATTCGATATCGCTTTTGATATTGAATAAATACATTGCTTTCATTTTGAACTAAATGACATATAGTTACCATTTCTTCAATTAATTTAACAATTATTATCTAAATATATCGCCAGTATTTTTGCTCTGACATTTTAAGAACCAGGGAAATTGCGTTTCGACGCACGTAATTACGTAAGACTGTTGAGGTGCTTTTCAAATGCGATTTTAAACTCTCTATACAAGCCCTTTGCAGGACTAAAAACGTGCTTGGCTACGAAACCGCAGCACTGTCGAAGGTTAGAAGTCACACAAAAAAGCTTTGTTCGACCTCGTTTGTATTCTGAAGGCCAGAAATTCCCCCAAGAACGTGCAAGAAACCAAGCACGTGATCTTTATACCTGACCACATCCAAAGCTAATTCTATAAAATCACAAGTGATGCATGGCGTGGGTACAATGGTACCGTTCTATACTAWTTCTATTTTTTATTTCTTAATTTTAATTAAAATTCGGTTAGTAGATAAGTCCGTAAAAAAAAGAGCATTACGCTCTATTTAAAATATTAATATCTGTTTTTTCTGTATTCGGACGGTGAAAGCAGCCATACGCTAGTTTGTAAATACTAAAACCATGAAATTAGTATTTCTTTGTTTTCTATTGGCTAATCTACTTGCACTGTTTAGCACCATTTATTTAGTAGCTTTCACGCTTTTAGTGTTTGCACTCTGTTTTGTTCATCTAGTACTATTTACCAACTACTGTTTCACGGCTATAATGTGTGGACTGTAATAAACTCAGCAGAAGCGGATCCAAGGGGGGTGCCAGTACCCAGTACCCCCCTGCTTTAATATATATAATACACATTCATGTGACCAATAATTCAGACAGACAGACCAATGCAAAATGTATAGAAGTGTTCCCTATTTCAAAATTKMTGGAYCCGCCCCTGCTTARCAAAATCAAGTCCTTGTTCTGGAAACCTTCAGTAGGTTTYTTCATTCACGGYCTTACGATACKCACACTATTTCACGGTTTTAGGAACACAACGGTACGTATTTATCAAGCAGCTTAGTGGTGCTGTCATTTAAAGTGGATCAAAATGCCGAATCGATTATCTGTTYAACTCACAACTTTTGCTAATTAATGTTGCGCTTGAACAAAATCAAAAGCAATAACGTTACTGTTTCACGGCTGTACACTGCAATCATTTAGAGAAATTTATCACAGCCGAAGTCCCGTACACTTTAAAAAAGGCAAAAAATATCAAAAAGTACTTCCGCTCCAACTATTTTCTTGAAACTTGACCAGATTTTTTGTATTTTATTTTATGCAAATGAATCCCAAAGTTTTTATCCATGTTAAACGGGCCCGAATTTTCTGAAAACAGTGCATGTGAAAAAGCAGGTCAATCACTATTTATTTGCAGAAAGTGCGATTATAACATAGCATAGGTAAATGATTGCTTTAGACTGTGTTGTCAGTGTTAACTAGCTGAAAGTGCGATTATAACATAGCATAGGTAAATGATTGCTTTAGACTGTGTTGTCAGTGTTAACTAGCTGAAAGTGCGATTATAACATAGCATAGGTAAATGATTGCTTTAGACTGTGTTGTCAGTGTTAACTAGCTGAAAGTGCGATTATAACATAGCATAGGTAAATGATTGCTTTAGACTGTGTTGTCAGTGTTAACTAGCTGAAAGTGCGATTATAACATAGCATAGGTAAA